AATTTCAGGCCAAGAATGCTGAGAGGGCTTGGCCACTGAGGGCCAAGCTTTGGTGCAGGTAGGCCAGCATTTCAAGGTGTTTCTTACATCACCCCTGGACTGTCTCTGTTGGCCTACCCCAAGGTCCTACAATACAGTCAGGAAACTGAAATGAGAAATATGAAGGAACATCAGATTTTGATTTTTATTTTTTACTTAGCCATGTACTATGATAGACTCTTAGCCTTGCTAAAATAAAGATCAGTTTTTGGATGGCTCGGTCCCAAGCTTTGTGCAGTTTCTTTTCTTCTCCCATCTTTTTTAAAAATAAAAGTTTAATGTTTAAGGAGAATGAACATATATATTTTTAAACATTTATTTTATAACCAGAAGTTTGTATTTTCTTTTATAATGGAAAATAAAAAAAAACCTCATTAGAAAGAAAAAAAAAAGTATTTCATACTTGTCATTGGAAATAGCACAGGAAATCCCCACCTCAAATGAGAAGTCTGATGATTCTTTTGGTAGTATTTGAAAATAAACCAACTTTATTTGGATCAATCAATACCAATCGAGGCTGAGAAACAAATTTATAACTGGTTCAGATGAGGAAAACACTCAGCAATATCTTCATTAGAAGGCATTTTACATTCATTAAAGCTGGAAAGAAAGTTCTGTTATTTTATCACCACAGTTAAAGGTCTTGAGAAAATCAAGTGTCTTTATAAAATGAGATGTTTGTTCTTTCCTAAAATCTAGGCATCTTTTGCTAAATTAGTTAACTCTTCAGCTTATAAAATGGGACAATCAGGTGGTCAGCAAAGTAAGACAAATTCAAACATTGGCTGGATATCTTATGTTTTAAATATAGGCATAGTCAATATTGTGAAATCTCTAGCTACACAAAATAAACGTTAGATAACTGGATCCTTAAAACTATGTTTTGCCATAAAACAGATTGCTTTTGTAGACACACAGATTAGCCCAAACCCTCTAATAAGGCCATCTTTTATTTTATGTTTGGTTGGGGAGGGAGGAATTGGATATATTTCCTTAAGTAATATTAAATAAAATTATGCACACTTGAATCATACCTAATTATGAAATAAAACTGTCCTGAAACTAAGCTGGGAGGAGAATATTGACAAAGGGAGAGGAATATGCATTCATGAGGGGGCACATGTTGTTTGGTTTCAATGTTGAAGAGCAATGAACAGAAGACAATAGGTCTTGTGTGCAGAAAGGGCCCAAGGCCAGTGATGTGCTTAACATTCTAATGCTTAACATGCTTAATTCTCTAATGCTTAACATTCTTTTTAATTTCATATACAAAAATAAGGAAGTGATCCCTTGGGAATCGTGGACTTAATTTTAACTATAAGTTAATGCTTCACCTTTCCAAGGAGGGAGACGCCATCATCTTGATCCACTCTGCTACTGCAATGGCTCCAGGCCAGTGGGAATGGAGCTGAGACACACAAACCCCTCCCGACTATCTGCTGCCTCTGGGCCAATTTCATTTTAGTTACAGAGTCCCACTCGTTTCTCAGGATGAAAAACTCTTACTGGGTAGACCTGCATCTTCCTGACTCCGCCTCTTTTCATTTTATTTTTCCAGATCTTGCCAATTCCTGGGACTCTCAGATCTTCAGGGTCCATTCCAGGTGTGATCCATTCCTTTTGTGACAACTCTACAATGCTTTGTATCGCCTGTTGGCGAAGTGGCCAGCGGGCCCAGGTGTGGTGAAAAGGTGCTGTCACTTCATTTGACAAATGATAGAAAACATGGTGTTTTTTCCTGATGAGAATTCAAGATCCTCACTGGCCCCACCAGCAGAAGTGAACACGCAGGACAGCACCGTTCCCTGGGGAGCCGAACCTAGTCTGGGATCCTGCGGCCAAAGAAACCGATGGAGTGCTTTTCACTTTTCAGCGCATTAGCTTTGTGCGGGGTGGCTATTATCCCTCGTTTCACACAACATCCTCATATTCCTGCCTGCGATTCCGAATTGTCAGGCATTTATTTGACTTCCTTTATCAAGAGGTGACGGCAAATGGCAGAAGGAACTATGCTCCATATCAATCAAGATTTTACTTATCCAGCTCTTCTTTTATAGTTATTAAAATCTTATCCAATATCTTCACTCTGGCCAAACTGAGAGGTAGGCAGTGCTGAGTAGATGGGTAAATTCAACACAGTCATTAGGAGTTTGACTTCTGTTTCTGCCTCTGCCTCCCACAAAAAACAACAACAAAATAACAGTGACATGAAAGTCACAGGAGCAAAATAAATAAAAAGTAAAATAGGATCTCAAGCCAAATTAATCCCCTTTCTGGGCCACTGAAATCTTTCCAAGGGATCAATGTTCGTTCAAGACCCATGACAAGGGTTCCCTCCTGTCTTAAAACTCTGGAGTGTGGGGTCAAACTGCAAACCTTCAAGACTCCCTGAGTTGGTTCTGGGGACACCTAAGAACCTACCGCACTGTTGCTGGGAGATGATTTGCTGTGTATATGACAAGGTTATGGCCAAAGCCCCAGGAGGCTGAAGAATGTGAAGAAAAATCTCTTCAGAAAAAAAATAATCAGAAGGTAATATTATTATTATTTTAAAATACTCTGATAAATCTGGTCATAAGACCTTAAATCTCTAAGTCAATACTTGCATTATATAATAATCTAATATTGAAATAAAAAGATATTCCTGAATTAAGTATCCTTCCATCTCTAACTCCTTCCCCTATTTTAAATGGTCATAATTAATCATATAACTGCCCCCCTCAAGTGCCTATTAATGTTGTTATTTATGTAAAATTAAGTCAACCACAGAAGGAACATCTAGAAACAATATTGATTTGGTTTAGCTTGTTTGTTTTTAAAAACTGCTTTTAAAGACTCGCCAGTTGTTGGAACTCTGAATATTAAATCCGGGTTGTTAGTGTCTGCCAACTCCTCCGGGGCAGCTGGTCCACTGGGCCCCTTGTTTCCTCTGTTGCCCAAATGTGCCTCAAGGACAGCGCACTGTGGGTCTCGGGAGAGCAGGCTGCCTCTTAGGTCATGGCGCCTGAGCCGGGAAGGTCAGGGAAGGATTTCCCAGGACAACAGAATTTCACACTAATTAAAAGGTCTTCTGGGATCATTCAAGCTTTCATCCCCCAGGAGGCCAGTGTGGGGTTTTATTTCCCCATCATTTCTCCTTTTTAAACACCTCCCGGGGGGGAGGGGGGGGACAAGTTTCCAGGGAGCTGTGGAAAGGATCCTTTAAGAGGTGGAAATGAATCAACTCATTCTGCTCTTTCAAAACTCTCAGGCTTATAAAATGTCCTACTGAGAAATTTCCTCTTCCTCAGTGGGCTGAAGGAGGTCCCCTGCCTCCTCCCCTCTGCTCTGATCAACAGGGTCCGGTGGCCTTTTTCTTCAGAGATCCCTGGAGGCAGGTAGGTCCCGGGATTGCTTGGGTTAGAACGTGTTGATGTTTCTGTGGAAAGGACCCATGCTGGGCCACCCTCCCTGAGCAACGAGCCAAGTGCTGGGGCTTTCTGGCCTTTGGGAACCTCACTCTCCACCGACAGGCCACAGAGAAGGGAGGCCTGTTGAAGGTGAGAGTCTGTGGCAGGTGGATTTCCTCCCAGAGCCAGAGCGTTTCTCTTAGTTCCCTCGGTGCTGGTCCCCATGCTCAAATAGGGTAAGATTTTAAGGAGGTGAAACTCAAGAACGACTAAGGAGAGCAATATTATCTTTAAAAAAGTTTCCTTTTTTTTTCATCTGGTAGTTGAATCAGAAGGTAGGAACATTAACCCAGATGGGGTTTTTTTTTTTCAAGTTCAAACCACATGGTTTCCCAGTCAGAAAGGCTCAAGGACTTTCTTCCTAAGGTTCCACGATGGTGCCACCTCCTCAATGTGACTCCCGCCCAGGGGAGGCTTCAGCTGGACCGGCCCAGAGCGGCTGCCTGAGAGCACCCAGGCAGCGGCTCTGCATCCAGGAGCAACCTGAAGAGACTGCAAAGTCATTTTTGGCCGATTCTTGGGTTTTTGCTATAAGGTTGGTAGTTGCAGGACATCACCAGTTCAAGACTTAGTTAGATTAGGAGACAGAAGACCTGTCTTAAAAATTTCTGGGGAATACTGAGCATCATAAAGGACTTTTTTATCTTCACCCATCCCTCCACCTCTCACTCTCGTCGGTTTTCTCCTAAGACCAAAATTCACTCTTAGACAAACATATCAAACCCAGGCATGTGACCTGCAACAAAGCAACTACCCCTAAGCAAGCAAACCCCATGGCTGGTAGACCCCTGTGGGCCTTTTGGCATCAACACTGCTCCCCTCCCCTCCCGGTCCCAGTCCCAGTCCCAGTCCCCTCAGTTTGGAATCGCATGCCAATTCCCTTTTCTGGCGAGGCCTGGACAGCATGAAGACAGAGTCGGTGTCAGCCGGGCACGTGACAGCATTGCGGCAGTCACTGCACTGCAGCGAACTGACACCGGGTCTGGAGTGCTTTTCCAATCTGGCTGTCCGTGCCCAGTGTGACAGGAGTGTCAGAAAGTAGTGAATGACTCAAGGTGTGTCTGCCAGATGCCCAAATCCACAGCCTGCTCGGTCCCTCTCCGTTCACTCTCTCTGTCTCTCCTAAGAGCAGGGGGTCTCTTTCTAATAAGAACTAGGATGGCATTTGTCCTTGGCCTTGGAGTTACTGAAGAAGCGGAGGGTAAGACAGGACACGGTGTTGTAGGTTTCTAATGCATCGGAGGAGATATTTTGATATTGGCAGAAAGGGCCAGCGTTCTCGATCGCTGACCCCAAACACACCGAGCCCAGGCCGGCCCGAAGGCTGAGAGCGTGACCCTTCCCAGCACTTCTGCTGGCGGGGTCCTGTGTGGTCAGACGGGGTTGGCGCTGGCCTTCACGAAAGACAGCAGACTGCAGTCCCATGATGCCAGCAAGGTGTGGCCTGCCCGAAAAAGGCGTGTCCGGAGGCGATGTGGAGGGGGGTCTGTGGGGCTGGAGTCCTTTGGGAGAGGCCGAGCTGGGCAGCGGTGGCGGGCTCAGGAGCGGCTGAGGCGCTTGGCCACGTCGGCGTAGGCCAGCTCTATCTCTGAGTCAGCGGCACAGGTGTTGGTGAATTCGTCCCTGGCGTAGGCGTTCTTGAGGTACCGCCACAGGCCTGTCATCTCAGCCGGGAAGTCGTAGTTGCGGTATTTCTTGGCCACAATCTACAACAGAGACAGCAGGACAGAGATGGTGTGAGGGGAGAAAACAAATCATTGAGGAGGTGTTAGTGGCGGGACCCAGGATGTGCACACAGCAAAAGCCCCCATGCGTCACAGCAGAAAAGCAAGTGTAGTGCAAGGGGAGAGGGCTGCCTTCTGATTTGGCTTTCATTTATTTCATTTTATAGTATTTTATTTTATATTTCTTAAGCTAATAGAATCTACCCTTTGACCTGGTGATTCCAGTTCTAGGGATTTTTTCCTTAGGAAATAATCTTGGATGTACACAAAGATTTAGATACACATATGTGATCACAGGACTATTTGGAATGGCAAAAAAAAAAATGGTACACAGCACAAATGTCCAGCAACATATGATTGGGTAAATACATTATTATAAATAAAGACAATGGCATCCTGGAAAGCCATTAAATGATGCTGCCCAGGGAATTCCAGTGATCTAGGAAACTCTTCAAGGTAGATCGTTAAGATTGAGGTTAAGTATAACATTCTTGGAGAAATACGTATGACCACTAGAAGTATATGTGCCAATGTATTACCAGTGGTTATGTCTCACTGACTGAATTCTAGTCAATTTTTTTCTATGTTCTCTTATCCATTTTTGTTTTACATAAGCATCTTTACTTATAGGAGGGGATAAAACATAAACAGAAAGTTAGATGCTGGAATGCACATCTAGTTTCAGGGTACAATGTGGGAGTGAACAAAGAGCGATGTCTGTTCTCTCCCTAGTTCACCACCCTGGGGGCTGAGGACTTGGGCATTTGGGGAGAGAGGTGCTTGTGCTGAGAGAAACAGTAGCATAGTAGTTAAAAGCATGGGCTCTGGACTCCACTGGATCTGCAATCCTGACTCCACTACTGAATAGCTGTGTGACCTTGGACTAGTTACTTAACCTCTCTGAGCCCCAATTTCCTTATCTGTAAAATGGAAGTAATAATAGGCCAACCTTGGAGTAACACACACAAATGCTTGGCAGGATGGCTGACTCAGACTCAGTGCTCAAGAAACATTACCTACTATTATGATTCATTGAGACCCACATTTTACCCACTTGCGTGCATTCCTTTATTGATAGGGGCCAGGTGGTCTCTTTTATGAGGTCTCACTAGCCAGGGAGGGCTTCACAGACGTGTGACCTATGCAGTCACATGTGTCTCACCCCCTTAGTTTAATGTTCTGTTGGCAATGTCTGGAAATCCCTAATGCTTTATTTAACCTTACTTTTCTCATCTGCAGAATGGGAATATAATACACTGTGCCTTGTAGAGTTATTTAGAGATTTAAATAGCTTGCAAAGTGCAAACTACTGTGCCCAAGGGCCTGTACATTAGCTGGTCCTTCCTCTAGCCCCCTAGGGGCCAGGGTGGGGATAGCAAAGGGTAGCCTCCCTCCTGGACAGACTTCTGACTCCTTTCCTTACTTTCTTCTTAGAGAGGGGCCAGTGGTCAGGATCCTCCCACTGAGAGAACCCCAGATCAGCCACGCTGGGCTTTCACCCTCACTTTGCTGCTAGTGATGTGCAGGGTTCCCTGGAAAGCATGCTGAGTGATGAACAGTGACATGTTATTGCATGAAAGGCTCAGTCTCATAGATATGATCACATTTCCAAGGAAGATGCATTTCCCCCCTCCATTCTCCTACTCTAGCTTTGACTGTCTACAGCAACACTAAGATCTGTTCTATTCTGAATCACAGTTACTGTTTTAGTGTCTCTCTCACTTCTCTAGGTGTGAAAAAGGACAGGAACTACACCTTCTTCATTTCTGTCCCCCTCAATAACCTCAGTAATGCTCTTGATGAGAGTAACCACAACAGTAAACATTTATTTACTAGGGCTCTGCTCCAGGCACTGCTGTGAGCACTTGGCAAGCTGCTTAAATCTCTAAGCAGAGTGGGAGTGTATTACAGTCCCACTCTGCAGATGAGAAAAGTAAGGTAAAGAGGTTAAATAAGTAGGGATTCAATAAACAGTTATAGCCCAACTGGGGGTGGCTCAGAGGGTCAGCATCGACCTAGGATCCGGGGAATCGAGGTTTGATTCCTAATCAGGACACATGCCCAGGTTGCAGGCTTGATCCCCAGTCAGGGATGTGCAGGAGGCAGCCGATCAATGACAACTGTCTCATCATTGATGTCTCTCTCTCTCTCCCTTCTTTTCTCTGAAATCAATAAAGATATATAAAAAAATTAAAATTTTTAAAAAAAATAAAGTTATATTTCATCTTTACCATCTTCAGTTTCTTAACATCAAAGTGCATTTAGTGTCAAATGTAATAAAATCACTTAACTTTCGAGACTGAAGATCCTTAGCAATGAGCAAACTGAAGCCACCAGAGATTTAGTGGCTTACACAATGTGACACAGGAAAAAAATTAATTCAATCAATATCACAGAGTAATCACTAATATTCATTATTGTCCCTGCTTTCCAATGCACAGTTCTCTCCACTTTGCCACTCAGCCCTATGTAAATGATAAAGGAATATCTCTACTCAGAATCCCTCCAATGCCAGTTATTTGGCTACTGTTGCTTATCTCCAAACCTACCCTTGTATTTGCTTCTTTGTGATGCTGGGGCTGAGACTGCAAATCACACCTGTGCTTTGCCTGCAGGGCCCTGTTAAGCTCTACCAACAGGGGGCACTAGAGAGAAAGCCTGCGATGGTGGAGGAGGGCAGACCCATGTGCCCCTTCCTATTAGCTTCCTGTTCCTGTCAGTCTCTTTTGCTCCCGTAACAGCAGCTGCATCCAGTTTGCCGTTTTGCCAACACACAGGACCGGTGTCATCACACCAGCTCAGAAAGGCCATCACCCCACAGTGATCCTGTTTCAGAGAGGTTGGGTCCCAGTCCCACTGGCCGTCCTCTGAACTTGACCCCCAGTATCAGCTGCGCAGTGCCCACCTCAGAGGCCCAAGGCCCCTCATCGAAGTTTCTAAGTTGTCACAATTCCAATCTCTTCCATCTGCTCCCCCTGCCCTGGGGGTAGTAGCTGCCTCCTAAAGGTGGAACTTCATTATACATTTTGTCTTCTTAGTTCTTCAGTACTTACTACTTTTTCATATTAAATTCTCTCAGTTAAAATGACAGGTTTGTAGTCACCAGAGAAGGCCCCCAGCCATGTCTGTCCAGCTTAGGTGTGGCCAACAAGCAAAGGTGACGGGATCAGAGCCTGCAGCAGGACACTGCCAAGAGGGAATGCTGGGGCCAGCACCCCCACCAGTTCTCCTTGGTCTCTGCTCCCCTCAAGTTAAGGGTCCCTGGGGTTTGCCCCCAAGCCTTTGGAAGAAGCTTTCCTTGCTAAGGAGCAAGCCCATGGAGGAGTTGTGGGTTACAGCCTGATGGAGGCAGCAGCCTCAAGTCTTTTCATGCTGGAATTTATCCTCAAGCTTTTGAAGAATACAATAACAGAAGAAGTGCAATTTGTGAAAATATATTTGTGTTTATAGCTCCCTTCCTGTTTGCTGCAGGAGCTAGACAGATCACAGCGCCAGGTGAGGGTCCCACTGGAGGCTACGAATGCCCGCCATGTCCTGCCTTCCTAAACCTGGCACCTGCCTTAGTCACAAAACTGGTTGTTTCCTTGGGTGTTGGCTTCACTTGGGGAGATGAGACCTAGGAGGGAGCCAGACAATGAAAGTTCAAACCAGGTACTCGGTGAGCACCTGGGCCAGAGCCACTTGGCTTCCATGGATGGAGATGAACCTGAAGGAGAGCCAGGAGAGAGAGAGAGAGAGAGAGAGAGAGAGAGAGAGAGAGACAGAGACAGAGACAGAGACAGAGACAGAGAGGACAGCACACATAAGAGTGAGAGGGTGAGATTTGCACAGGAAGCTCTGACGTTTGCAGGAACTTCCAAGCTCAAGTTCTGAATTTGCTCTTTCATATGAAAACAGTTAGCTCCCACAACCCAGATTAAGTTTTGGCGTCGGAAGCCAAGCTGGAGGCCTGACTTGGCTCCCCTCTGCTCTTTCTGCAGTTCAGAGGTTTGCCAGGTCTCTGGGATCTGATAAGCTGGATCAGCAGAAATCCAAGGAGACAGGAGGCGAGGCCCAGCCGTTGTCCCTTGCAGGCCATCCTCCCTCTGATCCCCAGCCTCTCCCAGTGAACAACTCACTGAACTTCATCCAAGGACAGGGGCGTAACTCAGTCTTTTAGGAACTGAAGAAATTATAGGATGAGGCACACGGCCTGGGAGATCCATGTGTTTACCTTAGTCAACAAGCGAGTGTTGAGAGGGCAGTCAGTACATGTCTGAATGAGAGAGGGAAGGAGGGAAGGGAGAGAAGAAAAAGAAATGAGGAGGGGTAGGATCCACCTCTCTTCTTTAAAACATGGGAAAAATGAATTCCAAAAAGAGTAAATGACCTGCCCCAGCTCATGCTGCCAATTTTAGCAGCAGATATAAGACCAGAATTTGGGTTTCCTGACTTCTAGAATGGGAGTCTTTCCATTATATCACCTGAACTGGAATCATATCGCCCCTAATGGTGTCACTTGTACCTCAGGAAAAGAGAATAAAGGATGTTTCGGAGGGTGGAGTGGGGCATGCACTAATTAATAACTTCAAAGAGATGACACTTGGCATCTCTACCATTGGACGTACCATTGACCATGGGCTTGGCCCTGAACCCAAAGTGTCTTCATATGGAAAGGTTGTATTTGCCCAGCCCATCAGCCCTGGTATGCGTGATTCCCTCCAGGGCTCCAGCTCAGACCGAGCCCCCGGGAACACCAGTGCACACCCGGCTACGTGACCTCAGCTCAAGCTGGTGTGCGCTGTGACTGGAGGGAGGCCTGTATATCTAGCCCAGGACTTCGGCTGGAAAAGACAGGCAGAGAGCCAGCTGATCAATGACTGAGTCTGATTCTTCTCGGGGCAAGGTAGGAAGAAACTGGCTACCATAAGGACACAACTAGATGATAAAATGATCAATCAATGGGTGTTTCTGAAAGGTCCACCCTATGGCCACCATCATGCTTAGAGAAGGCCCTGTCCTCGCAGAGCTTATTTTCTGACTGAGACAGTAAGACATAAACATGTGTACAAACAGAGAACAGCCTAATTCTATGACACCATTGTATTTTTCTCCAGGCTGACAAGGGTAGGAAAGGATGTGAGAAGTGTTAGTTTAGAGAACTTTGGGGGACACAACCACTGTATTCAAATGAGATGAAAAGAGCAGCCTCGTCCCACGCTGTTCCAGAGAATAAAGGATACAGGGAGGTGTTTGGAAGGCTGTTTTAATAATAAAAGTCGTCCAAAATGGCAGGGCTGGCTTGTGAGGCACAGGGCTCTTCATCATCAGAAATGTGTGGTCACAGCTACACAGATGCACAGAGAATGGCCCAGTTTGGGATGGGAGATTGTTTGGGATAACCTCAGAATTCCCTTCTTTCCAACTCACAGATCCTAAGATTCGTACAGGAAAGGATTACACTGCCCGTCAAAGATGGTCAGAAAGGAAAATGGTAATACAATGATGTCACTGCTTGCAGCCTCCATCCCTCCCTTCAACTGATAAATGAGGAAGGCGACTCCTGCCTGCCCTAGGGTGTTGCAGGAGGGACTGAGAAGGTGGGTCTGCACACAAAGAAAACGCGCATATGAGGACACGTTTAATACAGAGGTGGGGGTGTGGCCAGTGGAAACCTATGAGGCAGAGGCACGGAAAAGGCCTTTGGAGTGACAGGCGTATCGTAACTATATATATGACAATAGCAACTACTATCTACCGAGCCTTTGCGATATGCCATGCACTTCATGCATATTATTCTCTCACCAACCCTGGAAATAGGCAATCTGTGCCTATTTTACAGGTGAAAGCTGAACCTCAGGAGCTATACAGCCAGGACGCAGTGGAGGTCTCGATTTGGGTCCCTATTCATGTGACTTTAGAGCCCAGGCTCCCGACCAGCAGGTGGCACTGTCCTTGACTTATCTGCACAGGTGACTCCCGTCTGAGATGGAGGATCTGGCGAGTATTTGCGGGTAGAGGTCTCTTACCTTGACCACATGGAGCTTGGGCAACAGATTGCAGTCGGCCAGGGTCAGCTCATCCCCATCCAGGAACTTGCGTCGGGACCCCTTGTCATCGTTCCCGAGAGTGTTGGCGTCGATCTCCTCCGGCAGAGGGGTGCTCAGGTAGTCATCCAGGTCCTTTAGTGCCTTGGTCAGGCCTCTCTCAAGGGCTGGCATGGGACAGCAAAAGAAGCATCTTTAGTCAACCTTGCCACTGAGTACAACTGCAGTCTCAGAGTAAAGTAGCTTATCCCAAACCCTGTCCCCTCATCACATTGTCAGCTCCCCAAACATACAAATACCTGGCAGCCATGAGCACAATGCAGGTGGTCTGAAAATGCAAGCCTTAACCAAACAGCAGACAGTAGCTAATCCTTTTGAAAATATAGACAGATATGCCCTGCAGGGCGTGGCTCAGCGGTTGAGTATCGGACCTATGATCCTGGAGATCTCGGTTCAATTCCCTGTCAGGGCACATGCCCGGGTTGCGGGCTTGATCCCCAGTTGGGGGCTTGCAGGAGACAGCCGATCAATGACTCTCTCATCATTGGTGTTTCTCTTTCTCTCTCTCTCTCCTAATTCTCTCTGAAATCAGTAAAAACATATTTTAAAAATATATATAGATAGATAAATGATAGGTAGATAGATAGAGATGCAACCATTAGCATATATATCAGAACTTAGTACTTTTCAGAAGATGCAACAATAGTCAACTTTCATTTTTCTTTCTTGTGTGTGTGTGTGTATATATATATATATTCCAATATTCCACAATTAACCCACATAACTTTATATAAAGAAAGGCCTGTTAAACAAGTAAATAGCAACTGTATAGCAGTCCTAGGACACATAGGCACCAGGTTTTGTGGGAGCGTTACCTATGGCTAACTCAACTGAGAAGGGAGGGAATAGGCTTCCAGGAGGACAAGACATGGGAAAGTGAGGGGCCCTGTTTGGTGCTGCCCCCGAAGAGCCAGTGGGTGTCAGGGAGACACACTCGAGGCATGTTCTAAAAATCAGCACTGTCCCAGAGGTAAGGGCCAGTGCCCAGGCAATGGGTTACACCAGAAACATGCAACCACAGCTGCCTGGAAACCTGTCAGGGCTGCAGCTCCAAGCATGAACATTTATAGGAAGACACTGTGGCAGAAGGCTTTACAGCCTTGCCCCAATAATGATCTCTCCAGTCATCCACTTAGTCACAGTAACCGAACAGAACATTCAAGAGAATAACTCCAGGAGCTCACTCTCACTGGGTAGTCATTCCACCCAGAACCTCACAGACTCCCCAGTCCTGGAGCACGGACGCAGCAACTGTCCACGGGGCTCGCAGCTCGCAGCTCGCAGCTGGGGAGATGGCTGCTGCGTCCTTCATCACAGGCCCCTGCTACTGTGTCATCAGCCCCCCTCCCAACAGCTGTTTTTCCCAGACTCTGGTTTACAGTGTGACGCTGAGATCATAGGAATCAGTCCTGATGTTAACTCCAGCAGATAAAAAGGGGGTGCTGTCCCCGGAGGAAATGCCCAGGGGACTGTCTCTTGTTCAGATTTCCCCAAATGTGCCTTCTGTTAGCTACTCCTCACATAACCTGAGTTTGTCTTTTCATAGAGGCCTCTTGTCTGAGACAATGAAATGACCCCAGCCCAAGAGAAATCCATCGGCTGCTTACTGGAATGTTTAAAAACAGACTGGAGGCTGGACATAGTTTCTCAATGCTTTCTTCTCCCTGCTGCAGCATTTGAGCTTGTACTTCATCATCTGCTTTGTGTTTCCAGTTGGGGAGAACAGAGTGAGCAGGGCTGGGAAAAATGCTTGTATTCCCCTTAGTAATTGTCTAGACTGGGATGGGACTGCAAGCCTGTTCCAGAGCAAGAGTGGAGGGTGGGTACTCAGCAACGCTCATTAGGCTCCCTTCCCCCCTCCAACTACTTGTGTTTTATACTGGGTTTGTTTGCTTCCTCAAATCCTTCTACCCTTTCCAGTTTTGGAGATTATGACAAAAATCTTAATTTAAATGGAGAAAAAAAAACACGAATAGAGTGCCTGTTGAAATTTGACCAACTGATTATCTAAAGGGGAAGAGACATATGCTGGGAAGTGAGACAGGGCAGGTTCTGATTCCAAATGCCCCTGGGAGACCTGAGCAGGCCACTCAAATCTGTGCCCAAGTTGCCTGGTCTAGGAACTATCATGACGTGTGGTAAAAGAGGCCTAGGACAGCAACGGAAGATCCTTGGGAGGATTGTTCTGGATAGTTACAGAATAGTAACAGGTATGTAAAGTATAGCACAGGGACTATAGTCAATAATATTTAATAACTATGGCATGGTGTCAGATGGATACTAGTTTTATCAGGGGGATCACTTTGTAAGGTATATAAATGTCTAATCATTGGGATGTATACCTGAAGCTAATATAACATTGTATGTCAACTGTGATTGAAAAATTAGAAATTATTTTTTTAAAAATTTACTGTCTCTCTAGTGACCTCTTGAGATGGAAGGGTAAACTTTGGCAATGGGCACCATTATTGCTTTATGTCACAACTGCGCAATACCAAAGTGGCCTGTTCTGAGAATGTCCTTGTGTGTCGGCTTCATCTCTCCCCCTTGTGTGTTTGGATCAGGAATGTGAAGGTTCAGTTGGTGGTCACTATAGTAGAGAGAAGAGGAGGTGTGGCAGCAGGGATGGGGCCATATGGCCTGGAGCTAATGTTGACCCTGCCCAGGGTGGATTTAATGTGAGGCTGCTAAGGCTTAAGCTTCAAGGTCCTGTCATTGCGTGGGCCCCTTCCAAGGCCTTGAAGTTGATTTTTTAAATTCTTTATTAGTACTTATTGTATTGGCCTCAGATCTCACAAGTCTTGGAAACATCTTCCACCTTGGCACTTACTAAATGTGACCTTGGGCGAGTTTCTCAACTCTGTAGAGCTTTGGTTTTCTCATCTCAACTATGGGACTAAAAATCTCTACCCCTCACAAAGCCATTGTGAGGATTAGCTCAGGTTATGCTAGGGAGAGTGCCTCCTATAGTGCCTGGCCCACAGTAGGATGCCAATGCATGACAGCTACTGTTATTGCATCACCAAATGTGACAGTCACCCTGCTCTCCGGGATCCCTCACCCCATACCATTCATCACTCTGTTCCTGAGAAATCCAAGCTATGGCAGAGAATGAGGGATTCTAAGAAGCTCCAATCATGGGGCCCAGTCCCCAGAGGAGGAAATGAGCAACCCTGCCCCAGCAGGAGAGGCAAAGGCTGACGCCCTGAAGCCCTGCCTCTCCTGCTGATTTAATGCACAGCCACAGCCCTGATCCTACGCTCCCTTGGATCCTTCTCAGTGACAAGCCCCGCTGAGAGGCACAGCCAGGGGGGATAGACACCATGGGCCTGTGTGCTAACATGCTGCATATTATCGAATAACAAATGCCAGCGCCAACACATGCATTGCCAGGTCTTTTCCATCCTATCTGCCAACTCACTGCTCTGACCCTGGCTCAGTCTGGCATCCATAGAACTTAATTATCTCTTTCGGCTGACTGCACCCAGGTCATGAAACCGTTGCTGTTGAACTTTCTGCTCTGGTGAGAGCGAGGGGGATGTAAAAGAAACCAGAGTAATAAGAGGATGTTAATTCCTTCAGTGTTTGCATTTAAAACCCTCTCTCCAAAAAACTTCTGAGTAGTGGGACTGGTTACCCTCAGACCGCAGCAAACAAGCCTGAGGGCAGGGGACCCCGAGGCGCAGGACCACTGACGTCCCAGGCACTTGATGGATACGCAGCCCTGTAACTGCCTTCTTCCCCTCTCCACCCCTTCCCATGGAGATTTATTCCGTACCACACACAAATGCACTAGGTAAAATATGTGATGAGGAAACAAGGGGGAGTAGTTCATAAATATCCTCAGCCATATGCAAACAATCTCAAATTTATTTTTCTCTTTTTTGAGGAAAAAAAAATCCACCCATTCCATGATCACTTCCAGATTCATTGAGGTTGATATTACATAAGACCCAATATTGTTTTCTCGTCATAGAGAAATAATGACTTGGAAACGGCAATTTGAGCTAAGAAAATAATATACTTTTACCAGGGCATGGAGGCTGAATGGGGACCCGGGAGCCAAGACTCCAGCTCGGCCTCCAACAAGCTCTTGCAAGCCCAGCTCAGCCCTGGTTCCCTGGAGAGCTCTGTGCACCGGGGTGCTGACCGGCCCAAGGCCATGTGGACCCCTCAGGCTCAAATTCACTCAGAGCAGAGCAGATACCAAGGGGGGTCCTGGAAAGACAGGCGCAGCTCCGCGGGCCCAGGTTGCTGTGCTCAGTTTCTCGGGCATGTGAACTTGGGAGAGAGAACTGAAGGCCCACCTCTGACCGACCCCTGGATCCTGGATGAGGGTCTGTTCAGCTCTCCATGGAAGAGGCAGGAGCTATGGGGCTGGTCCCAGGCCCAGCACCTTCTGCCCGGCTGGGTTCCTCTCACCGCTCTAACCCTGCTCCCCAGGACCAGCAAGAAATACACTTACTGAACTTCTGAAGTGGACCACGGGGATGTTTATGCCATCTAGCATTCAAATACACAATGAAGCTATCGATATGGGAGTTAATGTTCATCTCCATTTAACAGATCAAGAATCTTGGACTTATCCAAGGCATACATGTGCAAGCAAACTGTTCAAACGACTCCTGACATACAAAGAAAATGTATCTGCCTTTGTTTTTAACTGTGAGGTTTTAATACAAGCTCCCTACCCTTGGGTGGTGAGAGAACAACTTTAATTTAGTGCATTCTGGATTATAACCTAGTCTGATGTAATAATCCAATGGTCCCTCTGGAGAATTCTCAGTCTCTTTTGCATAAAAATGCTGTTTCTCAGACATCCCTGTCTGTTCTTCATCCTGAGTCATGGGAAGGGGGGGGGAAGGCTCCTGTGACCTCATGGCACCGGGGAGGTGGATGTCCTGGGATCTATGGGGTAGAAGGTTTGGGGAAGCTCACACAAGTCCTGCATCTCTTCCCAGTTACCCTGAACCTCTACTCTTCCAGAGTAACCCGGGATGTTGCCCCTAAGGTGGTGGTCAGAGGTGGGATGCTGGCCTCCCTCCAAAACCCTGGAAGGAAACCAGAGCAAAGTGTCCTCTTGGGGCTTTATGGACATGTCTCTAGT